TTATTTAATTGAGAAATATTATTGGGAAAATATATACCTCATGCCAGGCACTATTTGAGGGGCTGAGGGTACAGTAGTGAACAAAATAAACACAATCCTTTCCATCATGGAGCTTACATTTCGGAAGGAAGAGTGCGATAAACATATAGATTTGTAATATGTCAGAAGATTAAGTCCTATGAAGAAAAGTAAAGCACAGTAAGGGTAGAGAACATGATGGAGGGGATATTGTTTTAGAAAGGGGACCAGGAAAGGCCAATCTGAGGAGAAGATACTTGAAGACAGCTTAGTGAAGAGAGACAGCGGCCATATATCCATCTACAGAAGAGCATTTTAGGCAAATGAATGACCCCTACACAATACTGAGTGAAATAACCAGCTAGTAATGCGGCCGAGCTACAGTGAGCAAGGGGCAGGTTAGAGAGGTGACCAAGACTAAATAATGTAAGGAATCATATGTTTTTGAGCATAAGCATGGCATAATAGCTCATTCTGGCTGCTGTGTGGAAAACAGACTAGAGGGAGGAAAAGAAGCAAGGAAATAAGGAAGGAGCCCATTGCAGTGATGCCTACAAGAAATGAGTGCTGCTTGGAATAAAAGGATAACAATGGGGTGGAGAGATCAAATTTGGGATATGTTTTTAAGGTAGAGCCAGTAGGACTTTCAATTGAATTGGATTTGAGCTATCAGAGAAAAATAAAAGACATCTAGAAATACGCCAAGGTTTTGGACTTAGCAAATGGGCAATGCCATTTCCATTTACACAGAACAATATTCTGAGTTCTTGTATGTTCATAAATATATCTGTGCCCTTTAAACTTGAAAATAAGTTTGGCAGATCTGAAATCCTTGGATCACAAAATATTTCCTTGAGTGTCTTTAAAATGTTACTCCATTTACATCCAGAATAAAGGGCTGCTTTTGAAAAGTCTGATGACAATATTATTTTTTCCCTAATTCTTACAAATATCTATTTACCTGGAAGTGAAACTGATTTTTTAAATTTTCTTTTAAATCTTGTAGATTTACCAAAATATATCTTGATATTGTTCATTGTGGATCACTCTTCCAGGTATGTAGTACTCTTTTTCAACATATAGTTTGAATTTTATGTTCAGGAAATTTCCCTGGAATTATAGTTGTTTTTTTTTTAATTT